TTTGTGCACAGCCAGCCTTGTACTCTTCTAGGTTTCAAAAAACTGTCGTCCATAAAATGCGTTGCACAAATTCGAACATCTGGGTTGTGCTGTTCTGTTGTAAATAAATCTTAACCAATGATTCCTAATTGCATCTACTTCCGGAAGGCCAAATAAAGTGCTTTTGCTTTCGCACTGAAACACACAGCGTCTCCCTGACATGGCTGCATCCACACGACTGCTGTTCCTGAAACCACGCCTTATTTCTTTGCGTACACATTTGGGCGGCATTATGCTAATATTTCCACATAGAGACGTAGATATGTGGGGGCGTGTTAGAACGAGCCGTTTTAGGTAGGTGTGGCCGACTCTTAACTTTTATAAAGAATATCTCTTTGGATTTGAGACTTTAGTCTTTGCAACTTTACCGATCTTCTTTATGCACCAAGAGCTTGTAACACTCCAAAGAGAAAGGAAAAATTGAAATCGCATCATATGACCCCTTTAATGTTTATTTGTTTACTTTTAAGGTTTGTTTACTTATTTTATTTATTTGTTTTTTTTATTTAAGCTTTATTTTAATTTCACTAAATAATAAAATGTTAAAATATGTATATATTTTTAGTGGTTTATTTATTTACATTGGTAACATTACTTTTTATATTGTGTTGAACAAAAAATTACTAATACACTTAATATGCTTAATCTGTTTTTAAATGCATAGTTTTTTAACTTTATTTATTTATTTGACTAGTTTTATATAATTTCTTTATTTTTTTAAGTTTGATTTAATTGTGAGGAACATATAATTGACTTTTAAATACATGGTTTATTTATTTTCATTTGTAATATTATACTGTCAACAAAAAAATGTAAGACTATCAGTATGAAATTTAGTTGTTTTTTTTGTTTTTTTTTATTTGTTTTAAACTAGCCATAAATAGTTTTTTAATGGTTCATTTATTTAAATTAACGTTACTTTTTATATTGTGTTGAACAAAAAAATTACTATTTATATAATCTTTTTAATCTATTTCTAAATACGTGGATTATTTATTTTCATTTTTAATATTACATTGTCAACATTATTTTGTAATTTCATTTCATTTTACTTTATTTTATTTTAATCTTTAACATTTACTTTTAAACTAGCTAGCTATGAACGATTTTTTTATTTCTGTTAATTCTGTGTGATAGTGAAGTTTATAAAACAGAGAGTTCCGGTCCTTGATTCTGATTGGTTGAGCCAAGTTCGAAGCTGTTCTAAATTACTCAACGAACATACACCTTTGTTTACGTCTGTGTGTTGCTCGGCAACCACTTTGTTGCAACCACAACCGTTTCTGAGGAACTACATTGTTTGGTGGAAGAATACTGTTTTTATTATCATTACACTTTATTTGCTCTGTTTTATTTTGTGAAACCTAACTACGTATATGGAATAACCGTTTTATAAAAGCAATAAGCCCCGTGAAGCCGTGGTTTACAGTGAATTTATAACAGCTTCGCGTCATGCCTAAGAACGCTCCTTAGCTGTTATAAATTCACTGTAAACCAAGGCTTCTTGGGGCTTATTGCTTTAGTATAATGAGAGTGTGTGTTTGGCAGGTGTGGAGGAGACATCATGGTGATCGAGGTGCAGGAGCAGGCGGGTGCGCTCAGGGGTCGTGTGATCGCCGTGTTGACGCCGCCTGGAGTGTCCGAGTACGGGTATGTGTGTCAGCGGCCAGTCACACATTAATAACCACACACGATTCCACACTGTTCGTGACACCAATCGCCTGTAGCAAACCGAAATCAGTGATGGATGTAGCGCTCTGCTGCCGCCGCAAACAAGCCCAGACAGATTCTGCAGACCACTTCTGCATTTATTTTTGAGGAGAAAACCCCTCAAAGCACTCTTTCTGCTAGACGAAAGCCAATCAAACCTTAATAATATTTAAAGCTGCTTGCATTTGCACCAAAATATAGTAGTGCAACTGATTAAATGGATTAAAAACAGATTAAATCATCTGCATGAAAAAAAGATGGCTAAAATGAGCAGTTGTAATTCAGTTCTTCATAAATCTGATAGATTTCATGCACACACAGCAGACATGTGTCCTATAAGAGCCCAGCAGCTTCACATGAACACATTAAAAACCCTCGTGAAAGTCCTTTACAAACGCAAAGCCTAAAGCTCTCATCTGGGTCAAATTAATTGCACTGATTCCTCAGGACACACAGATTTCTTGTGCATTTTGATTTTTGTCTGAGCGTCCATGTCGCCTTGTTTATATATTTGTTTACTTTTTAAAGAGTTTATTTATTTTAAAGTTTCTAAAACGATTGAATTTTTTTTTTATAATATTATCATATATATTGTTAATATATATTAAATATATAATATTTATTTATGGTTTATTTATTTATTTTGATTTTAACATTACTTTAAACTAGCTATATATGAAATATTTTAATTTTTAATATTTTTAATTTTTGTTATTTTTTATCGATCTTTCACTGCTATACATACCAAATCTTTTTATTTATTTTTAAATGTAATGTTTTTGTAACATTGCTTTTAAACTACCATATATATTTATATTTTTTTATTAACTAAATATGATATATATTTGTACACACACACACACACACACATATTTATATATATATATATATATAAAAACTAGCTAGTGTGTATATATATAAAAATATGATTTATTTATTAGAATTTTGTAATTGCATCGACCAGAAATTTCACCAGCTACACAGTCAATTCTTTGTTTGTTTATTAAATTGATTTGATCTAGCTTATTTATTTATATTTCAGTGTTATTTTCTTTCATTTAAATAATTTATTATGGTTTATTTATTTTACATTTTTTATTTATTTTAAACCGTATAAAAATTGGACCTGCAGTACATGAAATCTTTATTTTTGTAATATTTGTTTTATTTCAACTGTACAGGTAAAACCTGTCCCACTATTGTAATAGATGTAAAGAGGCAGGAGCATGCATGCATGTGTCAGGTATAGATCTCCTCTGGAGTTCTGCATTCTCCCTGTTCCTCATCTTCTCACGGTTCATTTAGAGAATTGATACGTCCTTCATCATGACTGCGTCTGATCGCTTTCCAGGCCACAGGCTGAAGGAGGAGGAGTGAGAAAACAAGGAAATCATCAATTACAGTATCCAGAAGCAGCCAGAATGATAAAACACACCGGCGTTTCATAAATAATTCAATTAGTCTTAATAATCACAACCTTTCTGAAGAAAATGCGAATGGCTGCCAGCTTTATTAGTGTGTTTGTGTAGGTTTTCAGAGGGAGCTTCAGTTGAAGTTAGCGTTGTTCTGAAATGTTTATCATAAACTGGTCTCTGTCCGCGCCGGCTCTCAGCTTAAACACACATTCATCACACAGTCGAGGCTTTCAGGCCTGTAACTGCTCCTCTATGACAGTTCTGCAAAGAGTCCAGGTTATTTTCTTCCTCTCGTCCGTCTCTCAGGACTCTGGCGGAGGCGGCGCTCGTCGCAAAGGACACCGTTGTGTGCGGCTTCCGTAAAGAAAACATGGCCTGGTGCCTGGCTGTCTGGAGGAGCTGGGGAGGCCGCGAGCTCGAGCTCTTCTACCAGGGATACGAGGAGCTCGGCCGCTTGGAGAGCAGTCTGAGGAAAAGGAGGTAGCTGTGTAAACGCGTGTGTGTGTGTGTGTGTGTGAGACGGAGAGCACAGATACAGGTGTTGAGCGTGGTTACGGGACCAACTGGAGGGAATAAACACACGTACTGTATATGGACTTGAGGAAATATAATCCTGCAGGACTTGGCCACATACACATTTCATATATATATATATATATAAACACAAGCAGATTGAATGCCACACATGCCGGATGCATAAACATATATATTCAGCCTCAAGCGTTTGGAAGTGCGTTGATATATGAGTACATTTACATTTGTGTTCCCAGAATGCATCAGAATTCACGAAACTAAGGGGTTTTGCATTCATGAACCTGTGTGTGTGTATGTGTGTGTTTAAATGGCAAGAAAGAGATTTATGAGGTGTGATGCCGGTTATTTGACTTGATCAACGTTGTCTCAAGTTAATCAGCAAACTAGATGTGCCTTTGATGAAGGATGTGCTGTTTTAGACCCACGATAAGACGAGAATCAATGAAACCGCTTGGGAAGCTCCGCCCACACAGTGAGGTCATAATGGAGTGGAACAGTTCCGGAAGTATTTTTCCCATTCATTTTTTCCCATAGGGATTTTAAAACGTCTTTGAAGCAAAATAATAATAATAATAAAATAAAAAATAAAATAAAATAGAAACATTTGTTTTTCTACATTTCAGTTACATTTTTCTCTAACTCTAACAATGCCTGGGAATGTGATTATGATTTAGCATAATTAACAAATCGCAAAGACTGCGGTGTAATAATATAAATATGTAATTTTGATATAAAATAGTATATAAATCTGTGGACTTCCACCAAAATAAAGGCAAGTAATGTTTAAAAGCAAAGAAAAAATAATTTTTTTTTATATAAATTCTTTACCTTTTTTTGTTTTGCGTTTTTTAAGTTGTTATTATTATACAAATTTATTATGAAATTCTTTGTTTTTCCCTTTTTTAATGAAATATAATGTGCACAGAGTTTCATGGCCGGAAAGAAATATTTATGGCTGGTAAAATTTCGCATGTAACTGGCCATAGGCTAGTTATTAAAAGTGTTAGTTTAATAAAACATGTATAAATAAGCAATATATGTTTAATATATGGGTATGAAAATGTTCTTTTATTAGCAAATAGCAAGTTTGCTTGATGCCATTCTCTGTAGAATTGTGGGTAATGTAGTTTTTCACCAGGAATTCTGCTGTTAAACGATCATTTCAAAAAGAAGTTGGAATTATGCTTCAGAAAAACGTCTGCATTAATTAACAACCTTGTAGATTTACAGTAGATCTGTCTTTAAAGGTTTATAAGTTATGATTAAAAATCAGTTCCCTATGGAGAAAGTGAATGGGATCTTTACTGCTGTTGCGCTCTGTAGGGCACATGCTGATGTTTACTGTGAATCCCAGCGCTTCTGTACAGAGTGGAATACTAGCATACTCAATACTTCCAGCAGCAGTGTGCTACGTTTGTCACATGACCTTGTCACTTTGCATGTTTAATTCAGTGTGTGGCATCTGTCAGTCTTTGAAAAATATGATTGTTTTACGTAAGTCCATGTTTTGTTTAAAATGTCTTAGCGTTTAGCTGTCTGATCACATAATGAGTAAGATGATCGCACTGAAATTAAAAGGTCAAGCCGATGCATTGCATTGTGGGATGCAGCGTTGCACACAGCGTTATGCTGCTCATTTTGGGAAGGTTATACTGTGTCTATGTAATGCAGAAGAAGTATGCTGCTCTGAACACAGCCGGGGTGATGGGAATCTCTGATGCAGATGGGTTTGATCTGATTGTGTAGTGTTTTAATAACACCAGCATGCTGATATTTTCTGTTGTACATAATATCTGAGCGTTTCATCTCTATAGAATGAATGTTATTTATTATAGACTGTTGAAATCTCATGCTGCATGTGTAAAAAGTTATTGAACTGTAAATATTCTGAATCAGAACATGATAAATAAATCGACTGCATTTTTTATTAAAGAGACTGTGTGCAACTGATGCATTAGTGTTGCTCTGACCTGAAGAACACATTCCCAAACTACAAACAAACATTTGCATTTGCAATATCAGAGTCTTGGATTTTTTTACACAAGCCTGTTTCCACCACAGAATAAATGAAAATAGCAAATAGTTTTTTTTCTTGCAATTCTGAGAAGAAAAAAGCTAAATATAAGACTGTACAGAGTGGAATACTAGCATACTCAATACTTCCAGCAGCAGTGTGCTACGTTTGTCACATGACCTTGTCACTTTGCATGTTTAATTCAGTGTGTGGCATCTGTCAGTCTTTGAAAAATATGATTGTTTTACGTAAGTCCATGTTTTGTTTAAAATGTCTTAGCGTTTAGCTGTCTGATCACATAATGAGTAAGATGATCGCACTGAAATTAAAAGGTCAAGCCGATGCATTGCATTGTGGGATGCAGCGTTGCACACAGCGTTATGCTGCTCATTTTGGGAAGGTTATACTGTGTCTATGTAATGCAGAAGAAGTATGCTGCTCTGAACACAGCCGGGGTGATGGGAATCTCTGATGCAGATGGGTTTGATCTGATTGTGTAGTGTTTTAATAACACCAGCATGCTGATATTTTCTGTTGTACATAATATCTGAGCGTTTCATCTCTATAGAATGAATGTTATTTATTATAGACTGTTGAAATCTCATGCTGCATGTGTAAAAAGTTGTTATTGAACTGTAAATATTCTGAATCAGAACATGATAAATAAATCGACTGCATTTTTTATTAAAGAGACTGTGTGCAACTGATGCATTAGTGCTGCTCTGACCTGAAGAACACATTCCCAAACTACAAACAAAATTTGCATTTGCAATATCAGAGTCTTGGATTTTTTTACAGAAGCCTGTTTCCACCACAGAATAAATGAAAATAGCAAATTGTTTTTTTTTCTTGCAATTCTGAGAAGAAAAAAGCTAAATATAAGACTAACAACAAGATACAAACTTGTAAGATGTAAACCTGCAATTCTGAGAAGAAAAGTGTAAATTGTGGGATATAAACTCACATTTGTGAGAAAAGTCTGAATCGTGAGATAGTGTCACAGTTACCTTTATTTTTTTATTTCATGGTGGGGAAAAATATATGAGATGTAAGCTTGAAATTCTGAGTGAAAAAAAGTCAGAATTGAGAAATGTAAATTCAGATTTCTGAGGGGGAAAAAAATCTGAATCGCAAGATGCAAACTCGAAATTACAAGAAAAAAAGTATGAATTCTGTTTATATCTTGCATATAAGTTTTTTCTCAGATTTGCAAGAAACCAATTCCAAATTGTTAGATAAGATGCAATTACATATTTTTTCCAATTATAGAAAGGTTTATGGGTGCATGTTTTTGTTATTGCAGTGCAACATCTTTGCGTTATAATTTCAGTTATATATAACTATATATATATAACCCCCCACCCCCTCCCAGTGAACAGTTCTTCAAAGAACCATTTTTTCTTAGTATGAAGAACATTTAAAAAGTTTTAAAAGAACTGTTTTCCACTATAAAGAATCTTTTGTGGAATGGAACGATATAAAGATTACAGGTTCATCATGGAAGCAGATGCTAATAAAGAAGCTTTATTTTAAGAGTCTAACGTGATTCATAATGATGATACCCGAGCTATAGCTTTCAAATGATATATAGATGTTTTCAGACTGAGACGAGACGGTGTTTGAATGTGCCAAGGCTTGCAGTGCTGAGGTTACAGTTGCTTTTGCCTGCTGGCGTTACATTACATCATAAACTTCTCGTGTAGTAAAACAGCCCTGAGCTCTTTACAAGCTACACTTTTATTGCACAATCTCACATCGGCACGCATTATTAGCAGTATGCATGTGCGGTTATTCACGTGAGATGCAAGGACACATACAGTACATGAACGCTGGAGTGATGTTTGTGATGACATTAGACATTTGCCCCTCAGAAGTGCAGCAGAACAAGTTCACACAGAGGTCCTGGAGTCACATTCACTCACTGTGTTCCTGCTGCCGTGATGATGACAGGACTCACACAAACACACACCTGGAGGTCCTTCAGGAACTGAAATTACAGCAATTGCAGCTCGCTGACAGAACCGAGAGCGTCTCACTTTGCTGACTTTTATCACCTCCTCGCTTTACTTCATATAAATCTCTGCAGCCTTCAGATATGATCATGTCTGACTGATGTGAGACAGTTTTCTAAATCTGCAATGTGTTATTATATTTACATTGTAAATATAGTAGTGTAATTACATGATTGCATATTATACAATACAGTTAAAAAGTTCGGGTCACAAGATTTATGTTTTTAAAAGAAGCCTCTTATGTTCACCAAGGCAAGTTCTTTGATGAAAAAATACAGTAAAACCTGTAATATTATGAAATATTATTACAATTTAAAATCGTTTAAAATGTGATTTATTCCTGTCATCAAAGCTGAATTTTCAGAATCATTATTTCAGTCTTCAGTGTCACATGATCACATGCTGTTAATAGTGTTCACCGTCTGTTTGATTACATGTCATTAACTAACTGCATGATATGGACATCAACCTGACATAGTCACCACTAATAAGCTACTTCTAAATATAATGTAGAACTTTCATTTTCTATAAAGCTGCTTTGCAGTGATTTGTATCGTGAAAAGCACTATACAAATAAACTTGAATTGAATGCTCCTTCAGAAATCATTCTAATATGCTGATTTGCCGCTCAAGAAACATTTCTGGTTATCAATTTTGAAAAAAAAACATTTTTTTTGTGCTACCGAATGTTTTTGGAAGATATTGATTTCATTAGCTATTTGATATTTGGGTTTTTTTTTCTTCCCCTTTCTTTGATGAATAGAAAGTTCAAAAGAATCCGACGTGTTGTAATCATTCATATGACAAACACTGGCATCACTGATGTCACAGTCAGACCTGTTGTAATTTGCCGCTCAAGAAACTTTTCTGGTTATCAATTTTGAAAAAAAAACATTTTTTTTGTGCTACCGAATGTTTTTGGAAGATATTGATTTCATTAGCTATTTGATATTTGGGGGTTTTTTTCTTCCCCTTTCTTTGATGAATAGAAAGTTCAAAAGAATCCGACATGTTGTAATTATTCATATGACAAACACTGGCATCACTGATGGCATGATATGGACATCAACCTGACATAGTCACCACTAATAAGCTACTTCTAAATATAATGTAGAACTTTCATTTTCTATAAAGCTGCTTTGCAGTGATTTGTATCGTGAAAAGCACTATACAAATAAACTTGAATTGAATGCTCCTTCAGAAATCATTCTAATATGCTGATTTGCCGCTCAAGAAACATTTCTGGTTATCAATTTAAAAAAAAAAAAATTTTTTTGTGCTACCGAATGTTTTTGGAAGATATTGATTTCATTAGCTATTTGATATTTGGGTTTTTTTTTCTTCCCCTTTCTTTGATGAATAGAAAGTTCAAAAGAATCCGACGTGTTGTAATCATTCATATGACAAACACTGGCATCACTGATGTCACAGTCAGACCTGTTGTAACTTAAGACTGCAACTTCTGAATGTGTTTTATGATGGAGAGGATGACTAACAGTAAATATGTTCAATCTGTTCCTAAAA